ATGAGGGGCAAGCAAGGGATGAGCAGAGCAGCAGGTGGGGGATGCAGGCAGGGAAGGCTCAAAGATGCCATCACGATGAGGGGATGCTGCAGAACAGTCAGAGCTGTCTCACATTTCTGCTCTGATCAGCAGTAACTGTTAAACATGTTAAGATATGGTTATCTGCTACAAATAACAGTCCCTTAAATGAAAAAGACAGTCGAGAAACTCCTGTGACAGTTTTCTTAATTCATCTTGCTAAATCTCCCCTTCCACTCATCACTGTCCCTGTCTTTTCCTTTCTATACACTCCTCAAAGTTTGTTGGGCCCAAATAAGTCATCAAAAGCTGAAAATAGAAAGAAACATATTGACCTGCTTAACTTAGAAAGCTCTGACACCTCTTGGTGACGTTGTGGGTTAGCATCATTATCCAGATGGTAACACTGCTATCCCCTCCTGACTTACCTCCTTGCTTTGAAAAAGCCCTTGAAAAAGATTCCAGAGATAACCAGACAGATGAAAGGGAAAAGCTTCACCCTAAAAGCAGCATCCAAAACCACTCCATGTCAGCCCTTGATAATCTTTAGCCAGACTGTTATTCCCATGAGATCAAACAAGAGGGAATGAGATTTAGGCTATGCTAAGTGCCAAACACCAGCACTACAGTCCTGCTGCCACACCTTCCACCAGCTTTTGCCTTTCTTCCCTCTCCTGCCCCCAAACAATCTGATTTAACTGGCAAAACCAGCTCCATCACTGGCAAACACTGTCCTCTTACAACTCAGAAAGCAACTAGGTGAATTGTTTGGTGACCTCAGAACTGCCCAAATCCACAGCTGACAGAGCTGTTTTGTCAGCTTTCTTCTGCTGGGTTTGAAACACACACAAAACCACAGTAAAAGAGCAAAGAGATGGAGTCAAACTTCACCAATATGACCAACACGGGACAATCTTAACTCTCTCTCACACCCACTCAAAAGACAACCAGTAATTACTAGTCCATCAATGCTGTAAGGTGAATTCTCAGGGATTTTTCTAAACTAGACCTTGTACAGCTTTACATTAAACAATGAAAACAAAAACTTTCCGAACACTCTTAACTGCACTCACTATTTTTCCATGTCTCACACTTGCATCTCCAATAGAAGCATTTAAACACTCTGAAGCTGAATCTTACATTCCTAATCAGTAACTTTCCCTGAAATGCTAAAAGACCAAGTGTGTCTGGTGAGGGGAACTGGCCTAGAGAACTACCTGCTCCCCCAGGAAGGGCAGCAGCCTGCTCACACGTGGGCAGGGCATACTCACACCAAGGGGGAGCATGAAAAGCTGCTAAAGGCTGAGAGCAAAGAGGCACAGTCACCTGGAGCCTCACACCCTACCTGGTGACAATGGAACCATGGTCAAGCTCTGATCAGCTCAGGAAACTCTTCTGCTTTGCTGCCTGTGGTAAAGGTAAAGGCCAGGAAGTCTCTCCACTCTGTCAGAGCAGCACTCCTGGTAACAAAAGGTCTGGGTAGTAAGGGGAGAAAGGATGTTTGGAGTCCAGAGAATAATGGTGAGGTTGCTCCAGAGTGAGAGGGAGGAATGGGATGGGAGAGGTTAAGTGAAAGCACCAATGGTCATAAAGTAGATATGACTCCAGAAGTTCATTTGGGATGGGAATTTTGTTTCTCTGAAGACAGTTAGTTAGATTTAGGGTGGGATTTCTGGACTTCAACAGACACAAACACAGATAGTGCAGGAAGCTGCTCGTGGCAGAGCTACACAGTCAGATTCCAGAGCAGGCTGGGCTGGACAACTTGCACAGACACATGCCACTGAAGCTGCTGAGATGCCTATCTGAGATGCTGATGAGGAGTTCAGAACCTTTGTTACTCCTTGAAACGCAGAATTCATGACTCCATTTTTGTAAACTTACCAGCCCTAGCTCAAATGACCTTTTGTAAACTATGCCAAGCAGTACAGAAGTCAATTCAGGTGCACCAGTTTACCATTAAAAGCTTGTCTGTAGAAAGGGAGGTTTGCTCCTGTAGAGGACACTGTGAAAACACCAGTGGCTGAGTAGTAATGGAAAAATAAACAGCACCACGGGTGAAAGCAGCAGCATCATGTCTCCAGCACAGAAGAGATCACAGCTGTCGTCATAGAAAAAGATGTAATTTATAGTTCTATTATCAATGTTTAAGATGGAAGAAACCCTGTTTATATAATATACAAAACATACTCTTGAAGGGATTAGACTAAATAATGCCCTAAATTCAGCATCTTCCAGTCTAATAAAGGACATAAAACCTGTTCAGCAATCTGTTTCTATTTTAAAAGGCAAGCCATGGTATACATTACCAATACTGTTTGTAACAGGGAGCTATGGAAAGAGGCTTGGTGGGATGTTCTGCATATATTAATGCTTCATTAAAAATGCCATAAGAAGTAAGGAGAAAAAACCCCACTAAGTTTAAGATGCCCTCCCACATAAGGAAAAGGATTTTAAAGCACTTATTAAATTACTTCACTTGCATGAGCAAAACCATGAGCTTTCTTGGAAATCAGGACAAGCTGATTATATAAGACCCAGATAGTTCTTCTTTAAAATGTTATTTCAACCCATGAAGATTTGTATCTACTGTTAAAGGGGGGGGGGGGGGGG